TGAACTTGTCTTAATTTGTTTTGTGTACGACAGCGACGACGACGACGTATTGTCGGAAAAATCGGCAATAAGTGTGCTCACGTCGGTACATATATATGGGATCTACAGGTCGACTTTATGAAAGTCCAAAGTCGGATGGAAGTGAATCCGTTAAATTTCTTGATTCTTTTTTTCATTTGGTCTGTTCCCGTACTGCAAGAATCTAAAAGATTCTACCATGGCACAATGAATAGGTAGTCCATTTAGCGCAGCTGATGTCTTGATTAACTGTCAAAGTGGGTAATTTCTACTTGAATTCGATGTGCAGTGTTGCCAACCATTTGAAATATTATATGGAAAAATTTGACAGATACAGATACATCACCTTATTATTGCATCATGGATTCTACTATTTTCTTCGATATCATAAAAGAAAATTCGTTATCGTAGTAGATTCTTGCAGTACGGGAACATACAAATTGTCAGTCTCCGAAAATTACATTGAATTATTAAACTAATATTTTAAACTAAATCGGTGTACACATTATCACTTTTGAATGACATCGTTTTATTATCGATTGCTGACTTCCAACAACAGCTGCTTTAACCGTATTTATTGTGAAATGACTAATTACTAATGTGTCACCAAGCCACTTAATTTCCATTCGACGTGCCGTCAATCATCTAAACAGCAACGCCGTTACTTTGACATAAAAAATACGCCGGCATCGTAGCTAGTCATCAAAATTGATGCCGACTCGTGTTTTCATTACATTGGATTGAATTTTAAGAAATTAAACATTTGACATTTTCCTAAAGTTAAACAATGGCTGACGTTTTGGATATTGATAATGCTGAAGAATTTGAGGTTGATGAGGACGGTGATCGTAAGTATAATTGCAATAGTTAAGTCTCTGCGATGTTCTAAACACAAACTTTCTTTTTTTTTGGGTAGAGGGTATTGTCCGCCTTAAAGAGAAGGCAAAACACCGCAAAGGCAGAGGTTTTGGCAGTGAAACCACAACGCGTGAAACCATCCATCAATATGAACGTGTACGTCACGAAGATGACGATGAACTGGAACCCGGTCCACAACGTTCTGTAGAGGGTTGGATTTTGTTTGTGACAAATATACACGAAGAGGCACAGGAGGATGAAATACAAGAGAAATTCTGTGATTTCGGTGACATTAAAAATATCCACTTGAATTTGGATCGACGAACGGGTTTCTCCAAAGGTTATGCTTTGGTCGAATTTGAGACACACAAACAGGCTTTGGCCGCCAAAGATGCCCTGAATGGTGCCGAAATTATGGGTCAAGCCATACAGGTTGATTGGTGTTTTGTAAAGGGTCCGAAGCGTTTGAAGAAGTCATCGGAGAAAAGACGTCGTTGAGAAAGGAACAAAAAAGAGCGTAATGGCAATTTTATGACTAAAATGAAACAACTGTATTTTACATTTATATTTAAGAAGATTTAATTTGCATTCACACAAACCCACATTTAATCTTTGATATAAAAAAAAGAAAACAAGAAGTTCATATTACATACCTTAGTGAACCATAAATATATCGTAAATATAGTTAAATTAAAAAAAAACAAATGTATGATGAAGAGATGCTACAAAGAGTACAGACTAACATTTTTTTGTAATGTTAACATGTAAAAAAAATAAAGTAATAAAACGAATTTCGGATACACTGTAAACATTTAGTGGCATTTTAATGTTGTGGGAAGAAGGGGACCATTAAAAGAAGAATATTTCAATGTTTATAGACGAACTGAAGGAAGTCTTTATAGAAGAGCGGAAGTGAGTCATAGACAAGCTGAATGCAGAGATTCTTTATAGACGATTCGGACGAAGGTAATCTTTCTACACGAGCAGAAGGCAGTATTGATAGACGAACTGTAAGAAGTCTTTTTAGACGAGCTGAAGGGATGATTTTTAGACGACTCTCTATTAAAAAGACTCCCATCAGCTTTAGAGACGAGCTGACAGGAGTCTTTTTAGGCGAGATAAAGGGTGTCTTTTTAGACGAACTGAAGGGAGTCTCTTAACACGAGCTGCAGGGAGTCTTTTTAGACGAACTGAAGAGAGTCTTTTTCGACGAGCTGAAGGGAGTCTTTTAGACGGACTGAAGGGAGTCTTTTTAGACGGGATGAAGAAAGTCTTTACAGGCTGAATAGCCTTAATAGACGATTCAAAGGAGGTCTTTATGAATGAACTGAAGAGGATCTTTCTAGACGAGCTGAAGGGATTATTTTTTGACGAGCGGCTTCTTTAAAGACGATTCGGAGGGTTTCTTTATAGAGGAGTCGGAGGGAGCCTGTGTAGACGAGCTGAAGAGAGTCTTTAAACAGTTAAATGAAGTCTTTATAAACGAACTGAAGAGAGCTTTAGAAAAAAAACACTCGAACTTGTTTTCACGGAAATGGGGTCTATGATCCGAAATTGGGTCGTTCATCTTATCCCATTCTGTGATAATGGTCTGGCTTCTATAATAGATAAACCACCAGAGAACTTCTGTCAGACAAAAGTCAAGTTCGCCATTAGTCCCTGCGCTCTCAGTTGGTTTTTGTAATATTATATACCTTAACCCCCCGTTTACATATCAAAACAAAATTTGGTGTAAAAATAAATATAAAAAAATATTTATTTCCAATACCAAAAAAAGGTACATTTTGTATTTTATAAAACTTACACACAAAATCATGTATCTACTAAATAGATAACTAGTAATTATTTCAACATTAGCTGTAATATGTTTACAATTATTTCCTAAAAATAAAATATATAGACGACATATACATCTTATTTCATTTTCTTAATGTGCAACAAATGCTTGCGCATAGCCTGTTGCTTTTCGCGGAAACTCTTCTTGATCTTTGAACGCGCCTTGTAACGCATCATAACAGGATTTTTGTGTTTTTGTTTTTCACGATTTGTCTTCGAACAGTTTTCATTTTGCCGACCATCTTTCCAACCGAATTTCTCACGATCGGTACGACCACTACGTACTGTCTCTAGACGACTTTCTTTGTCGTGTTTACGTTTCTTATAGATCATTTCAATATTATCGAGTTTTACAAATTCTTGACGATCCTTTTCGAGGGGACGTTTTCTGGCATTCGTTACGGTTTTCTTGAGGTTGGCTGTGTTGATACGTTTGAAATCTTCATCGGTGAAAATACGTGTCAATGCCAATTCTTGGGCTGCTTCTTTTTCACTTAGAATTTTCGCTTCAGATTTGGTGGACTTTTGTGATTTTTTCGAAGATTTTGATGTGGTCGATGATATTGAGTTTTTGCGGGAAGCCTTTTTGTCTTTAGGGGATTTTGTATCTTTTTCGGGCTTTTCTGATGTTTCTTCATTTTCTTCCTCATCAGATTCGTCTTCATCCTCCTCGTCATCGTCTTCATCATCATCCTCTTCGTCATTTTCACTATCACATTCCTCGTCGTCATCATCACCCTCCTCATCGTGGTCTTCATCATCCTCATCTACTTCTTCATCATCGAATTGGCCACCATCATCCTCATCATCGGAAACATCAACCCATCCTCCATCATTAGAATCGGTGTCATCATCATCACTACCCAAATCTATGGTCTTAGATGATTTGAGCAAAGCCTCAGCACCTGGTATAGTCTCATGTACCTCCACCTGACCATATGCTTTAGGCTTGTTCTCAGCCTGAGCCTCTGTCAAACGTCCTCGATCCTTTTTGTGCAACAAGGCTGGCAACTGTTCTCTGTACAGTGTAATCAAAGAACGTGCAGCCATCATCACCGATTTTTCTTTATAGGCCTTGTACATTGCCAAATCACGCAATAAATCTTCACCCATGGCCAAAGGACACCGCATACATATCTCACGTGTGGCGTTCAGACCAATAGCCATTACATCCGAGGAGTTGCGTTCGGTAATGAAATTATTAGCTATTGTCTTGAGTATAGGTTCGATAACATCCCCCGGAACCAAGGGATGTGACGCTTGGGCAGCAAATTGCAAAATACGTGTAACCTGTCTCTGATGGGGTTGAATGAAACGTGTTATATATGGATAATAGGAGAACAGGAACAATTCGTGGATACCAATTAGACGCGATATAACATCCAAGTGCATTAGTTTCACTTCGAAACGTTCATTGTTGTTCTGCAGTTGTTTGAATAAGCCCTCAGCCAAACCTTGAGGATTGTGTATCAGATGAATGGCGGAGAAATTAAATGCCGGAGCATTCTTCTTTTTCTTCTGGGCCTTGACTGCCTGTTTCTTTAACTGTTCCAATTGCTTCTTACGTTTTTTGGTCTTTTTGTTTACACGACTTTGCAACAGGGCTCCTTTCAGATCTACCTCATTTTCACTATCCGAATCATCGGAACCCTTATCTTCCTCATCGTGTCCCAAAAAGAATTTCAAGGAGGCAACCAAAACTTTGGTAATTTTCGAAAAACAACCCACAGTGGCAATAACATTCACCGTCTTCTCATCATTCCAAATATTCTTCTTATACAGGTCGATCATAATGTCGACGGACATTTTTGCTGCCTTGGGATTAGCATCTTTCAACATGGAGTACATGAAATTTTGTAAACTGGAATTCAACTTCATATCCTTATGTTTGGCATTCATGTTCTTGATATCGGTGATAATGTGATTTTGTAAAAATATGCGCAAATGTTTGTCGGGGCAACGCAACAATTGGAAGAACAGCTCCAACAAATCCAAGGCCGGGATGAGATTTTTATTGCGCAGCAATATCAAAGCCTTAACGAAACAATTACGCATTGCTGGATCCAAGGTGGTGGCATGATTCTTCAAAAGATCCACCAAATGTTGTGGAAACTGTAGGCAGACTTCGGGATAACATTGAGCCACCTGGAAAGTTGTCAATAGTAAAACAAAATCTTTACAATAGTTTATTAGCTCCCACACATACCTGGGCTATGAACATAACCAGCTCATCTAGGGATTTATTTTCCTCCGTTGGATTAAGGGCAAACACTTCCAAACTGCTGAGGAAGTGACGATACTGTTGTTGAAATTCATCTTTATATGATTCCGGATCTCGTTTTATTAAATTCTGCAATTGCGGCAAATTATCCGGCAACTGATTGTTGTGCCGCACCATATTTAATTTTAATACTTTTCAATATGTAGGGAAAATATTAAAATTATTAAAATTAAAAAGGACAAGTAGAAAAACGAAGTGTCCAAAACAACGGACACGTTTTTTCTGTTAGGGATCCATAAATCGATATTGGTCAATTAGATTAATCGATAATTTCATTTGATTAATTTCAAGGCAAATTTAATAAGGTAGTATAGTTACTATTTTTTTTTAATTTTAAAAGAAAAATTTACACGAAAAATGCTAATGTAGAGCATTTGATCCATGATGCAATAACAGGAGGTAGGTATTTGTAAAAGAGTCATTAGCCTGTTCCCGTACTGCAAGAATCTTTTAGTTTTTACTATTTTTGTCGATATCATAAAGAAAAATTTTGGTATGTTCCCGTACTGCAAGAATCTACTCGATTTTACTATTTTCTTCGATATCATAAAGGAAAATTGGTAGTAAAAAGTACTACTACTTTTTACTACCAATTTTTCGTCCAGTTCGGGAACAGACCATTTGTTATCGTAGTAAAAGTAGTAGATTTTTCCAAAACGGGAAGAGACCAAAAGATTTCGGTCCATTTCATTCCCTAAATATAATCTGATAATAATCGGAAGTTGAAGGTATTCACAAAAACGTTAATTTTCTGTAAAATTTCATAGTGATCTGCGCGACATTTTTGCGTTATTCAACTTCTTCGGTCTATGTCCTTCAGGACTAAAATTTCATATAATTCATAAAACAATTTACCATTACGACCAGCAAATATTGACTGATTCTGATGAATGGTTTCATGCTTATACCTTGACCTGACCCCTATCTCCTCATACAATTTTATGGTGGCCTATAGCCTCTAGACGACCAGAAAAGAGACAAAAATAAAGTTTTTGTCCCATTTTTATTAAATCCGGTTAAATGTAAACGTACTATTAGACCTTTTCATTTCATTTATTTCATCTAATGTAATATAAAAACATGACCAATAACTTATATTAAATATATAACTATAATATGCAGACAATGAATAATCAGAATCAATTCAGAATACATAATAAACAGTTGGTATTAAGTATATACTTTATTAATTCGGAATTTACCAGAAATATAATTACAATATTGAATAAATATAACCTAAAGGATCGATTCAATTTCGAAAGCCTATATCAAATATGTCAGTCACCAAAATGAACAGAGATAAACGCCTATGTTGAACAGTAAAAGTTTCTGGTACACAGCAACGTTATGCTCAACACATATGGATAAGGCTAAAATGGATGAGGCTAAAATGGATAAGTGATTATTGTCATGTTCAATAGATTTTAAGGGTCCATGGTTGAGCATCAACTCTGTGGCCACTTCTCTATATATATCCTATATAAGTGTTCTAAATTAAAAAAAGGTTAAAAATACTTATGACCAAAATGTTACCACAGTTATTGTTTTAATTACGTTATTTACGTGACCACCACGTATACTTTATATTTGAATTTAATGCCATGGGGAATCTATTGAGTCTGATTGGACTTTTTGGATTTCTTGTCGAAGGTTCAATATATTCAATATACAGTTTGTTTGATATTCCAATATATTTCATTAAATGATAATAAGTTGAGGAAATTTTTGCAGTTGTTAGAGTATTGACTTGATGTAAATAATTAAATCATGCTTCAAAAGTTGCATACATGTATTCCAATCAATGTTACCCAAATACGCACCAGGCAGGCGAATTCATGCCTGCTGTCAACAACATTGTTTATTTATTCTTCAAATAATAAATTTGACAGTCAACGAAGACTACGAATTCGCCTCCCTGTTAACCTTGTGAAAAAAACCAACCTGAATCTACATGCAAAATCTTCAGAATTCAACAATGGAAATTATTGAAGGATGTGAACACAGAAAAATTGTTTTCAATCGACATTTGACTTCGTCAGATTACAAATTATAATGGACGGACGGACACACATGACTAAAACACTAATGCACAAAATAGTACGATAGCGGTGATTGCTAAACACGTATTCTCTTTTTGTCTCTTTTCGTCAGTCATTTTTGATGATTATCTCTCAATTACTCTCTCACACACTTGCTCTCAATTTAGTTCTGTTCAACTCTGGACTAAAATAAAACGATTCTGCTAGTTGAGAGAAGATATACAGAATTAATATATCGTGCAGCTACAAACTCATGGGGCAACATATATTAATAACATAAAGGTGTAGGGCATAAAAACATTTTGTTCTGATTGATGGAATCAAATTTGCCTCAATTTTGAAATGTCAAGTCGAATTGCTTTGTTTACAAATTTTAACATGTTACTAAAAAAGTTTTTGTTGTAGTAATTCGACGATGTGACTACCTAATATATGTGCCTTGGTTGAACATTTTCGACATTGATAATGCGTATTTTGAATTTTGTTGTTTTTTAATAATAGAATGCAAGTTATTGAAAACAATTGTGTTTCTGTAAAAGCAACATTTTTCGATCAATTAAAAAATGGTTTCATACATTTTCACCGTTTCCAATTGGCACATATGTAAATACGGGTTCTTGCGTATTTGGGGAATATGGACGTTCAACAAACCTAATAAGGATGAGAAAGTGGCTATATTAGGTATTTTAGTACGCAATGCATTGAATTATACATATATTGAAATGTATAAAATTAATTTATTTAAAAATGTTATTTTGTACCGATTTCTTAGCAAATTTGAATTGAGACATACGTTTCATTTCTACTGGATGTTGTTCGATAACTTTTTTATAACTTTTTTTTTATTTTCCTTCTATGATTTGTCAATTCAAATTCCAAATTCTCTGACAATGAAACTGATTCGATTCTTATTAGCACATCTAATACGTTTGTTTCATATCCCAATAATTTGTAACAATTTGTGCAAATTGTTACTGAATGTAATAGTAAATGAGAATAAGTTGAGAGAGAAATGTTGGCAATTGTGTACTGAGTATTGAAAAAATCTTACTAGAGAAATTTACTCAGTAAGAGTTATGTTTATGTTTCGTTGTCAAATTTATAATGATTTTTTCAATTTTTTTAATCAATACAATAATTTCAATATCTTAATTTTTTTGGAGATGTAAAGCAATATGCAATGTATAATAGTTATAATAGTATGTTGATCGATAACTTTTTTTAGGTATGCCGTCTACAAGAAGATGTTGTGTGACAGGATGCGTAAACGCATCTCTGATGTATAGAACAGCGGTTTCTGTGTATGCTGTAAAGAATGCATGGAAACCTATGTTGCTAGATATATACGGCATAACCACTAAGAACAGCTCTGTTATTTGTGCGAGACATTTTGAGGAGGAAATGTTCTCTAAAGCAAAAATGAAAAACGCCAAACATCTGCTATCGTCAGCAACACCATGTGTTAATATGCCACCTCCACTTGCTATTAACACAACAACTGTAGAGACGTCTATGGTGGAAATTGATGACTGTAAGTATTTTTTTTTTTTTTGTAATTTAGTTTTGTACATACTTTAAATAAAAATTGATATTTCAGTCACATATATTCCGGTACTTAGGTATTTGCATTTAAAGTTATCTGCCTCTAAAAGTATATCGGCTAAACCGATTATTAAAGGAAGGATTATCATATAACCCTCTGCAGTCCAAATACACCACCCACACGAAATGGAGTAAAAGGGTTATGATTCTACATAGGATTTATATAGACATAATGTGTATATTTATTAGAGTTATAATTTAAATATTACATTTATTTAAGATTTTTCGATATGTCGACTCTAAGTATAAAAAAGAATACCATACGATATATAACTTCAGTTAGTTGTTAAAATTCATTAAATATAACTTAATTAAAATAATATTAATTACTAAATGTCAATTTAGAATAAAGAAATGTTAGAGCCAATATTTACTACTTGATCTGTTTACAATAAACCAGGCCTGTCACTACAATAAAAACAAGTAAAAAAGCGTTAAGTTCGGCCGGGTCGAACTTCGGCTTCCCTCCACCATAGGTATAGGGATTTTTCCTAAAATCTGAGAACCCTAATATTTTAGTTTTGTATCTCAATTCTTTCCTTCTCGTGGTATCATCACATGGGGAGAAATGCTTGGCGATACATTTCATCATTATCAATCAGGTTCGACAGAAAAGTGTTCCAACAGCTGTGCTGACGCGCTGATTACTTTGATGTCTGGTTTCCATTTGTCGTCTGTAGCTGACATAGCACAATAAAAGGAAGTACAGCTGACTAGCTGATTAACTGTCAATTCAATACGACGTTATGAGACATCGCGTAAAGCATTATTTCACCTCGTAACGCGTCAACGCGTACGACATTTTCTTCTACATATGTTATGTTCCCGTACTCAACATTTTTTTCAATTGTCTTCAGTCATTATTTTGTTTGTCTATATTGTATTTCTTTTTTTAGGTTTCGCCAATGGATTCAACAACAATAATGTAAATAGTATCGGTTTGACTAACAACTATGTAGATAATCAACAATTTGTAGAATTTTGTGTAGATAGTAGTTTAGAATGTAACAACAGAACAGAAGAGGAGGACGTAGGGCCACAGACAAAAGGACAAATTTTACGAAACGAGATTGAGGTTCTTCGTGCAAAACTTTCTCTTCAAGAAGAGAAAATCGTTGCTCTTGAGGAAAAAAACCAAATTCTACAAGATACTAACTTTGCTCTCGAAGAAAAGAACAGTTTTCTGCGAGACAGAGTTGGTACCCTTGAAGAACAAGTCACCAATCTCCGACGAAAAGTTGACAATCTTCTTGGAAGTGGCATTTTCCCTAGAGAAGAAGTTAGTAGTGCCGGCAAAGCGTTAGCCTCTTTAATTTGTCATTCCTCTCCACTACCATACAACGCTGCTGAAGTTGAGGTTTTACAACATCTTTACCTCTTCTCAAAACACCTCTATAAATACATGACAAATGTATTAAAATTCTCCCTTCCCAGCCCATGTTGTATATTTGGTCAAACAAAACCTTTCACAGTTGGTTTCGACCCCAAAATGATTGCTACTTTGCGCACCATTTTCGAAGGAATGACAGTGGCAGAACGTCAGTGCGCTTTACAGTTTGACCAACTAAAAGTAACAGACTCTGAAGATAATAATTTCGCTACATACGCAATGGGGCTGCAGTTAATTGGCTTAAGTAGTGATTGGAGTTTACTTGTAGGATTTGTACTTACAAAGGAATTCAATATCGTCCAACTGGAAGCAATTATAGATTGCGTTTTCAAGTGTATTAGCACATTGCAATTAAATGTAATTCTTTGCATTTGTGACAGACATCCGGTTCACAGTATGTTTGTCCGTAAATATGCGACGTCTTCTGTATGTACTATTCCTTTCCCTCCAAATTCCGAAGGTGGTACTCGTTGTATATTCGACATTCCCCACATGCTTATAACATTAACAAATAGCTTTATGGAAAATAAATTGTACATTAAAGGCATGATGGAAGACACGCGAGAACTGGCATCCCTTGAGTTTATATCAAAAATTTTTGAATTAGATTCCGAAGTAATAGATCACGAACTTAAATTCAGTCCACAATTGCGGAAAACTCTATTCTGCCCAGCTTACTACAAGGGATATAATTTCGAATATGGACCTATGGACAGAGTGGCGGCACTTTTTAACCAAAATGTACTGGCCGCTCTGAACGTAGTACCATTTCCCGAAGAAGTCCAGTCTAGTTTACAGGCGACGATAAAATTCATTGCTGGGATGATTCCAATTGTGCGACTTTGCTCAGAGAATATTGAACGCTCTGAATTAATAAATATAATATCCGATACTTGTAATTTTTTGAATCATGTTGAATGCGGTAGTGTTACTGAGATGCTCCAAATGACATTGACAACATTGTCGTCGCTGTTGTCAGAGCATACCGATGTCTTAGTAAAAAAATGTGTGAATGATGCCCTTGAGGGTGATTTTCTAGATATTAGAAAACGTTGCGGTAGAAGACCTTCGTTTATCGAACTAAGGGAAGTTAAGGCAAGATCCGATTATGTCATTATGCTAACCGGATCCCTTGACCGAACATTGTTTTGGGCCGAACATTGTTTTCAAACGTAATTTTCTAATTGATAAAAATTTATCTAGAGAGGAATCATTTCATTTATATTTTTTCCTATTTTACATACCCAATTCAAGTTTTTTGTTTTTTATTCCGTATTAAATTAATGTCTAAAATACAACACTGTCTTCCGTGCAGTTCCCTGATTATAATCTGTTGTTTCGTCTGTTATTGTTGGTGTCCCATTTGTAGTGATGATATGCTGTGCACTGTTAGTTTTCGATTTAGGTTTGAATTTACTTCCTCTGTTCTATTTATTTTTCATTTTATTTTTGTTCTTTTTTATTTTATTCACTTCGTGCATGTTTGTAAATATTGTGCATGATTTTTTTGATTTTTTATTGTTATTTTGCCATGAATTGCCTGAATTACTAGACTGATTTATAAATATCTTAATATAATTCAATATTTAAAATATTTGTTATTGATTGTTATGTTGTCATAAATAATTACAAGTTTATTTTAAAAATATCTGAATTTAATTTTATGTTTCGTGCAATTTTTAATATTGTGCATGCTTTTTTTATTTGTTATTGTTATGTTGCCATGAATTGCCTGAATTACTAGACTGTTTTATAAATATCTGAATATAATTCAATATTTAAAATATTTGTTATGTTATTTTATTTGTTATTGATTGTTATGTTGTCATAAATAATTACAAGTTTATTTTGAAAATATCTGAATTTAATTTTATGTTTCGTGTCATTTTTAATATATATTTTTTTAGTTCTAGATGGGGGTTATATGGGAAAGTGATGCGATTACATAGCCTCTCCTTTCCAAGTGTCAACCTCGCCCACCCATGGTGGCCCCTGTTTTCGCAAAAGAGGCGCTGGCGAATTTAATTATATACTAAATATATTTCGTTTAACTATTTTCTAAATATTTTTGTGCTCAACTTACTTTTTTATGTTTTTAATAGTACAGATGTGAAGAAGAGAATGCTGCGGAACGCAACTATAGTGAAATAGAGAGGTCGAAGTCAAGAGCCAGCCCTCAATACGTCGTCGTCTGTAGAAAGAAAGAAAGAAAGAAAAACAAATACAAATCGTCGTCGTCGTCTCAACACAAAGCATAGAAACAACGTCTTTTAAGTTTTTTTGTTATTTATTTAAATTTTTTCGTTCTGTATTTCTCGTTTCGTATTTTTTGTAACATTTCAAATATTATTCGGATTTTGTTGGAGAATTTTCATGATTTTGTAGAGTCGGGAAGTGTTTATATTTTGGATTTTAATTTCTGTTTTTCTTTTGGAAGACCAAAGAGTTCAAAGTGGATGCCGTCATCATCGTCACTGTTGTCGTCGTCGCAGTCCTAACCAACAACACCACCATTGTTTGTGCAAATTTCTAATTTCTTGCACATATTGCTTCCGGCATTTACCCCGTAACGTCGTCGTCCTTCATTCCATTGGCCTGAGAGCTTCCTTTTGGGGGTTGTTAACCAAATGTCTTTGCGCGCTATCAAAAAGCGCGAGAATCAATTGTTGCCCCCTTCTGTTGTGGGTTCGTCCGCGGCCGTGGCAAACGGTCGCACCAGCCTATTTAGGAAATTAACCAAAACAATTAAGGGAACCCACCAACATCAGGCAACAACCGAACATCAGCAACAACAACAAGGTGTTGTGGGGGGCACCTCTTTACAGTCGTCCATTAAAAAGCACAATAATCACTTGCTGAGTAATCTAAAACAACAGCATAAATTACTGGGCCGTTTGACACAATCGAACCCGGAATTTGGTGAACCTTCGGAAACGTTACGCCGTTTGGAGGCCGCCCGTTTGGTTAGAACCAAGTCTGAAGGTGACATCGATAAGCTGTTGAGCAGTCAAAATCAATTGAAGCAAGGTGCTTTGTTGAATGCAAAATCCGAGGTTTGCCTGAAGACCATTTCAACACACAACTACCAAACTGCCAGTAACAACAACAATTCTAATAATAACAACAACCACATAAAACGTTTGTCACAATCCGCAATAGCACCACGTAAGGTGCTACAATCTAACACAAACATGTTAAGTGGTGCAAGATCCCATCGTGACCTAACACAATCCTCATATGCCTCAACATCACACCATCACATAGATGTAATGGCTCACTGCCCAGGTGGTGGTGGTGGGGTACCACCACAAAGACGCATGAGCGAGGGTAATTACAAGAGAACACAACGTACAAATTCCATGTCCACAAGTGAAATGACATCCTCATCGATAAGTGGTCTGAGTCATTCCGTTCCGCCTGTCGATCCAAATAGTATATTACGCATACCCATAATTGGCTATGAAGTTATGGAAGAGCGAGCCCGATTTACCGTCTATAAATTACGTGTTGAAAATCCCCATACAAATGATTGTTGGCTCGTCCTGAGGCGCTATACAGATTTTGTACGTCTCAATACGAAATTGAAGCAGTCATTTCCACATCTCACCTTGAATTTACCGCGCAAGAAGATTTTCGGCGATAATTTCAATTCGGTGTTTTTGGATAATCGCATACAAGGCCTGCAAATGTTTGTCAATTCCATAATGAGTAAAGAGGAATTGCGGAAGTGTCAGCTGGTGAGGGAATTTTTCTGTCTGGATGAACCACCTTCGTATTCCGAATCAATGGAAGAGTGTAGGGTGAGTGGTAATCTTTAATATTGGGTCAAGTCTATAAAGGGAAGCCATTAAATTATAGTACAAAAATTAGTCTTTCGATTCCTCCAAAATTGAATTTCATTATATTTCGTTTGCATATTCAAACATATTTCATATTGAGTAACCTTAATATGAGAATATGATGGTGCTAATTGCTACCAGCAGGCCGGTGCTACCTTTCTCATATTTGCTCGTTACAAAAAACATATCTACTACATATATCTGTATGTATGTATATTTTTATAATTATAAACATTAGTCAGTCACATTGTTTTGTGGTCTATTGGCTTCTTATCAAAATAGCTTAAAATTAGATTTTTTTGAAGATTATAAATGTAGTTTGTTTGCGTACTTAATAATCAATTTCCTTATCAATGTTTGTTGTTGTTGCAGGCAATATTTGAAGCACAAGAGGAGACAATTGCCCATTTGAAAATGCAAATAAACAACAAAAATGATTTAATATTACAACTACAACAAAAACTGCGCGATGTCCATCAAGAGAAGGAGCAATTGAAAGATATGCTAAAGTAAGTATATAAAAATCAGTAAGGAAAGAAGTAAAGTCGGACGGGGCCGACTATATGATACCCCTCACCACTTTGGATATATTCAACAGATGAATCCTAACAGACGTCGCATTTTTAAATGACCAGTAAATTGAAATCGGACGAAAATATATATGGGAGCTATATCTAAATCTGAACCGATTTTCGGGAAAGTTAACACACATCATTCTGGGTCTAATTCGTTACGCTGTGCTAAATTTCGTGCAAATCGAAAGATATATAGGGACTTTGGTGGACCATTTACATTAAATCGGACGAAAATATATATGGGAGCTATATCTAAATCTGAACCGATTTTGGGGAAACTTAACACACATCATTCTAGACCTAGTTCAATACGCTATGTCAAATTTCGTGCAAATCGAAAAATATATATGGGGACTTTGGTGGACCATTTACATTAAATCGGACGAAATTGTATATATGGGAGCTATATCTAAATCTGAACCGATTTTCACGAAACTTTGCATACATCATTCTAGACTTAATTCAGCAAGCTTAAATCGCACGAGCTATAAATATATCTGA